GAAAGCAGTGGAAAGTCTCTAGCTGAGTTCAACTGGTATTAGATTAGACGTTCCAAATCCAAATTGCATGAATCATGCCCATAATTTGTTTATTTATTTAGAAAGTATTTGTACAAAACCCAGGTTTGTGTCAAAGTTTTCTCATCAAGAAGGACCAGTGCAATACTCTGGTTCAAAAGAACTGTTTCTAATGGTCATTTGTTCTTCTTTCAGCTTTATGTGGTCATTTGAAAAAACCAACCTCAGTATGGTTCAAGTTATCACAGGACAGCTGGTTGAATCCTTTGATGAAGAGTTCAGGACACTATACGCCCGTTCTTCTGTTCCAAGTTCATTTGCCCCAGAATTAGTACGGGTAAACAGTCACAGGACACTGTGGGATAACGATACATACCAACACTCGGTGTCTTCCTTGGCTTCAGTTTCTAGCCAGAGAAACCTTTTTGGTAGGCAAGACAACGTTCACAAGATAGATCCTGTTTGTTGGAAAACTCGTGGAAGATATGCAGTAAATGAAATAGATAAATATGGCTTGAGAAATCAAGCCTATAATAAACAACCATTTCATCCAGGTTTTAACATGCAAAATCCAATCCAGCAGTATCAACCTAGTGAAAAAAATGAGCACTGGAAGAGACATAGTTATGCTGGGGAGAAGCCAGAAAGGACACCTTACCTACTGCTCAATAGAGCTATTAATAGAGCCAACAATCCATCAAATACTTGGAAAGTGCCATCTGATAGCCTTAGTATTGTTTCTTCGTTACGAGGAGGATATGCAAATAACTACAATACACCCCAACAAAGTTTTGCTGATCAGTTTTCACGACCAAAGGTAAATCTTGCAGAAAGAAATTCAATTGTACGGAGGTCTTTTAATGGGACAGATAATCATATCCGCCATCTGCAGCAAAGGATGCCAACCCTTGAACATACAACAAAATCATTCCTACGTAACTGGCGAATTAAGTCATATTTGAATGATCAATCAGATTATCCAGTAGAATCTAATGGGTCGGCCTTGGGTGACAGATATGATAGCTACGACACAGCTGAAAATATTAAAGCTCATGCGCTGTATTCTCATTCTCGCTTACGATCATCATTGGTTTTTCAGCCAACTTTACCTGAACAGCAGGAAGTAAGCAGCTGTGCAAGTTCTTCAAATTCAACTATAATTGGCTCAGAGGGAAGTGCAACACCTAAAGGGACATCTAATCATGCTCCAAGTGTGGAAAATGGAACAGATAATATTTTAGAAGAGCTTAGCACAAACATCCCAGTTAAACCAGATGAACCAAAAAACCACAGAATGCATATTGCAGACAGCACAAAACCTAGTGTAAATTCAAATGCAACAGGTGACTCATCTCTCTACTTGTACACAACGCTATGTGCAGACAAACATGCAGAAAATCTGAAGAACCTTCAAAATGAAAATTTGCTAAAAAGGAGAAGTTTTCCCATGTTTAATTCAAAGTCCATATTAGACCCTGGTGCTAACAAACATGCATCCAGTTATGTTTACAGCACATTGACTAGGCATAGACTTAAGCAGCCAGCTAGTCCAAAACATCCAGAAGACACACTGAAGAGCTCTAAAAGTTTGCACAGTGTGACCAACCATTTGCCACAGGAGGAAAAGAACCTCAAAGAAGAACTCAAGAGCCCAACTGCTAGCAAGGCAATCTCTATGGCTGCTCTCAACGAAGCTAGCAAAGAGGAGTCTAGTAAGGATTGCACATCAAAGAAAGAAAGTAAGAATTCCCCAAGTTTTCTAAAGAAAGGATCCCAGAAATTGCGGTCCCTTCTTAATCTCACACCAGACAAGAAGGAAAGCTTGTCAAAAAACAAAGGTCCTGCCTTTTACAGAATGTGTAGTAGTTCTGACACATTGGTTTCTGAAGAAGAGAATCAAAAACCTAAGATTTCCGAGAATAAGACAGATTCTTCCCCAAGGAGAAGAAGAAACACATCTTCAAATTCTCAAGGTAGCTTGAATAGAAGTAAAGAAGATGTCACCAGGAGCCCCAAAAAGTCTCCAAAGTCACCAAAACCTCAAAAACCTCCATCTGATGAAAGCAATAAAAAGTGTCCTCTCTTGTGCCCCCTTGAAAGTAAGTTCATAGAAACTGCAGGAGATGCCTCAACCCCAAGATTTAATACAGAACAGATTCAGTATCAAGACGTAAAGGAAATCGCCACAAATACTGCTCCTGAAAGTGTCCCTGTTTCTGCTCTTCAAAGAGCAAGTTCGATGACACCACAGCTGGCAAGCTCAAAACGCCAAGAGGAGCTAAGACCTCGTTTGAGTGAAAGGCGTGTTTATAGTCGCTTTGAGCCATTCTGCAAGATGGAAAGTGCTAGCCAACCTGCAGGAAATGCACCCAACAGCAGTTTACGTCTGTCAGATATCAAAACCAAGACCCTAGGGAATAATTATGGCAGGAGTAATCACATGGTCAGCTACAACTCAACTGCTTACCATCCACTGCAGCCTAATGAAAACAAGCTAAGAGGATTTATGCAAAAGTTTGGGAACTTCCTACACAAAAACAAGTAAAACTTTTGTTGATTATGTTGAAATACAGCAAGAGCAGCAAAGCTGGACATAATCTTAACTGGACAAGACTGACAGGCAACTTTTGTAGAGCTTATTTGGGTTTCTTCTTGGATCTAGGACATTGGAATGAATGTACATATTTTTACATAATTATCCTAGAATCGTTATACTTTACAGAAATTCTGTGTCCAGAAGATGCCTCAAGGGTTGTTTATAATGTTTATATTGTAAGATTAATTGTATACATTGTGAAGAAAGTATGTACTAGCATATTGTAAGATTAAGCGTGGGGAAAAAAAGATGGAGGATGTTTTTAAAGTTCAAGTAATAGAGTTTCCAAAGATTTGCCCTTTAAAAATGGGATAACACTAGGAATAGTGGCTTGCCTTTTTTCAGCATTTAGGTACACTTTGAAATGATAAACACAAATATTAATGCATCGCATGTTACTTATCTTTAAACTCATTTTTCAAAACTTATTTTAGGCTTCATCTTGTTAATAATTTACCCCACAGCATCTATCAAACTGTTTGGGCAGCAGATGGATCTATCTTTATTGAATTTTCCATGTAATATGATATTTTTGTAAAGTATTTGACACAGAGATCTTAAAGTGACCTTAATCTGAGCTTTCACAGACTTGTTTACATGGTTAAACTAGTGTGAATGTAGGATGAATGTTAAAAAAAATGTTTCTAGAAAAGGGGCCTTGAATATAACTTACAACTGGTTTAAATTTCAATGGGTTAATTACATTTGTATAACATGCCAGTATTCTATAACGTATTCTAAAAATAGCTTCTTGTATTTTTCTATTTGGTGTTTCAAAAGAAAAATTGTCCATGGACTTCCATTTCTCAGGTAAGTTTTTGAGTTTCACATGCAACGGTGTGTTTTAAGAGTTGCTAGATACATTTGCAACTCTGTCTTTAATAACTCAGTTTTTTAAATAAGGTTGCAAGTGCCTAGGCTAGGCATATGAGGAAGATTGCAAGCTCAACCCTATAAAGCTGCCTTATGTCCGTATGATTATTACAAGGCCAGGAGCAATTAGGCATCTGAAAATGAGATTTGTAAACTTCACCACATCAAACAAGAAGGCACCTCTCCTAATCCAAAGTAAGTATCAGTGAAGGGTGAAAGCAGCAAGTTTTTAACCTTAATGAAGGTATTTAGGCACCTAACTGCAGTCTAAGGGGCACATTTTTGTTCATCTGAGCTTCTCAGTCTTAAAAAATTGCATGGTATCAAGTGCCTGTGCCAGGTTAGTGCTCACAGAAAACACAGGCAGGGTGTCCGGGCAGCAGCATGGCATCCACTTCTCATCTGCAGTGGGCAGCCAGGACATCCAGCTGGCTCACCACTCCTGGACGTGGAGTTTCTCTCTTAGGAGAATGCCGTAACCATTTAGCTGCAAGATGCTCCACAACAGTTTTGTTCCGAATTCAGGAATTTGGAAGAATTCATTGCTGAAAGCTTGTAATCCTTATACAGGTTCTTCATGTTTCAGGGGCATGTTTTAGGAGCCCACTTCACTCTTAGGTCTGAGAGGCCCTACAGCTTTCTATGGAGGAGTCCCACTAGGAGGGTCTTGGCTTTGTTCTTTAGAAAGAAACACCAAAAAGGCATTTCACGCACCAGCTAGATCAAGTTCATTTGTCTCTTCTACCTGTGGCCCTGGGAAGAGATTTTATACAGAAGTCTTCTTCTCACCAAGAATCTGCTCTAGCTCCTGTGAACTCACCGTAGTTATTGTTGCTGATTTCAGTGAAGCAGCGTCAGCTTTTTGTTCAAACTGTTTCTCAGGCAACCTTATTAGGTTGCTGCTGTTTCACTGTGGGGATGTTACTTATTTATGAGAGTGGCAAAGTCTTGCATCTCAATCCTCTGCTGAAAGTTTAGGTCTCCCCTTTTCCTGTGACCATGGAAGAGATTTTATTAATTTCTTGATGAACACTAGTCACTTTGGTCACTCCTTGCCAAAATATCATAGCTGGTATTTTTTCCCAGATGAAGATTTATACTGAAATATTCTATCCCAACAGAAGTAGCATTTTCAGACTCAAGGGAAGCAATGTCTCCTTATGCTCCAGGCATATTTTCAGTATCAGCACAACATACTTCCACAGCTACACAGCCAACAGCAACACGATACTGTACTTGTAACTCTTAATATTTTTTAGCAGTGCAGACAGTTATTCAGGATGGTCCCAGAATTAGCAGTGCAGCAAAGGAACTTAATCAAGCTGCAGGTGGTGCTAGAGACTGTGTGGGTAGTTTTTAGGAGGATCTTTAGTTTTCTCTTGTGCTCTTGCGAGCTCTGCCATACACTTGTAGGCGGTACTATATTTGTGAAGGAAATGAGAGAGGGAGAACGAGGGTCTTGGGGCGAGTTTTGAAGTGACAGTGCTTTCCATGTTATAGTAAGGTTTGGGAAATCTATTTTGATACAGTTTGGAAATATTTTCCTTTATTTTTCAAAATAGATTGCAAATTAGAGAGTCCTGAGGAAGCAGATATTTTAAATTGCCAAGTCACCTATGTTTATAGATACATACTGCTATTTTGTACCTACACAGAAGATTGAGAGCCTTCAGTGAAAAGCCTGCTCATAGACTTAATAATGCAAAAAAAAAAAAAATCACAATAGAACCCAACTTTTTTTTTTCATTTTTAGATCTCTCCTCAGAGACCCTGCATAGGAACGTTTCTACATTAAGCTTGATCTGAGGTTAACTGAAATGAATGCAAAAGACTACCACAGACCTCAGTGGAAGTAGGATCAGGCACTTAATGTACCGACACCGCTATTTTAGAAATGCTACAAGACCAAATGCTGTTTGGGGAATATGGGGCTCTGACACCACGGGACCAGCAGCCTGGTGCCCTGCCTGCAGCTGTGGCTTTGAAGGTGGGGGAGCACACTGGTAGTGTGCTGCTACACAGGTAGTGCAAAGACCAAGTCTTACTTTGTTCCCTGCAGAATTGTGTGTTAAAGGCGGAAAAGCAATGCTCATCCAGTCCTGTCTGGTTTGCCTCATGTCTCTGTGGGAACCTAGCTGTTTCACAAAACAGAAAGGAAAAATATGAAAAAAAAATAAAAAATGATACCTGCTCTTTGCAGCAGCAGAGAAAAGAGATATGAACATTTTGGAGTTTATATTTTTGAACTTCCTTTTCCCAGAGCTGATCTTGATGCTTCTGCTTTTCCAAGGAGATGCATTTCGTTCAATGTGTCCTAAATGCGCTCTGCACATTGCAAGTTTGTTCCACCCCTCACACGCCCAATGCACTCCCAGTTTTGTAAGGCTGTGAAGTAATAGCTGTTGTTGTGCATGGTGGTCATTTGGCCAAATGGCTTAGGAGTTGTGAAACTCATAAAAAGTGACTTGTAATTTCCACATTAAATAAAACTCCATTAGCACTGGAATAGATCTAGGAGGGTGGCTGTGCAAAAGCCCATCAGAGCTACGCAATGCTGAGCCCTCAGGAGCACCCTCGGCAGCAGAGGGTGGTGCATCCAGGAGATACAGTCTCCTCATGTGGTGCCCGTTCCATTCACATCGTAAATAAACCACCCCCACATACAGTCTTAATACCCAGTGAATAAATTGCTTCATTTCTTCAACCTTGTAATAAACAATTTTTACCGCCTCTCAGATTGCAAAATGTTGGTTGTTCTCTTCTTAATGAGCTTGCACTGCACTCTTTATTCATGCTAACAAACATGAACTAGAGATAAAGAAAGGTTAAAAATTAAGAAAAAATATATTTCTACCTGTCTAATCTATTAGGGTAGTAGTATTACAAACAGTGAGAGAAACAAAAAGCTTATCAGGCACTACATGTTTCTGCATTGATAAGTGCTATTCAGATAAAAAATTGTTTGATCATCTTTCAGCTTTCTGAAATGTATTGAGAAACATGGTTTATAAAAGAAATCAGAAGAAAAGTAATACCAAAAATCTGTTGCAAGACAATGTAAAAATAAAATTTAAAATGGCTCCACTAAGCTGTCTGATAAATATATGTTTGGTTTTTTTTTAATTTGTAGCATGATGTGGGATAAGCTGTACAACCAACAAGTAGCTTTGCAGCTGTGTAATGCAGAGAGATCAGTGTGGTTATTGTGGTACCTGTTGCAGTTTATTCCCCATATCAATATTGTACTGCATGGTACAGTATTTTGGATTTGTTTTCATTTAAGTCTGGAGAGTTAGAACAACACAAAGCTGCAGTAGTTCACAGGTAGTTGAGATATGTTACTCCAATTTTGTCTTCACTTGCATGAGTACATATTCCATTAGCACCCTGGTGACAAGAGAGGAGACTGTAATGCTCAAAAGGTCGTCTTCCCATTTCATTCTTTATTTCATACAGGTGCTTACAGATGCCTTGGTACCTTTCTATAAGGTCTGAAATTTTTCATCATTTTCAACTCAAAACTAAGAGTTACAGTTAGGTCTCCATTTTTCACATTTTGACATGATGCCAAAGACACGTTGCATGTTCTGACAACTGTTTTCTGTATTGAGAAACAGGATGGAAGAAAACATTTGCTCTTGGAGAGCTCAGAACAGAGCTGCTTTGCTGTGAAGCAAAGCTAGTAGTGCAGATTTCTGCTTTAGTGATGTTGACTAGTTGAGTTTTAATCCCCTTAATCTCCTTCTTGCTTAGAATGGTCCCCCCTCCAGGTCGGTATTTAAAAGCAATTTTCCTATATGTAACATTTTAAAAAGTGGTCAAGTCCTATTTCTGAAAAGCTGAGGGGATATAGGGGGCTGGATTCCCAAATCAATTCTTTGTATGTCTTGAAAATATCTTGTGTATTGCTGGAAGAGAATCTGGTTATACTAAAAATTACTGAATATCCCTTCAAGAAGAAGCTGCTGTGAAGACTATGCATCTTTCTCCCACCACGTGTGTTACACGAACTAAAAATTCAATGGATAAGTGCAAAAAAATAGTTGGAGGGAAAAATAATTATTTCTGATAGAAGG